TCAAATGTCATTGCGTCGGAATCAACGGGAATTAATCCAAATAATGTCAAAGAATATTACCAGCTAGCTGAAAGAGAAAACGCAAGCTAAAAATTTACTTCGTCTCAAGTCCAAAAATATAAATAAAACAATCACAGCTTTCATCAATTTTTTTTTTCTTCACATAAATCCGTGTGGATTAATTTTATTTTTGTTTATTGAAGACAGTTCAGTTCAAAATGTCCAGGCTAATCCAATAAATAGCGGCTATTCAAATATATCACTAAAATTGTAATAATTGTTATTTGTGTGTGTGTTTGTTTGTATGTGTGGAAAGACGGTAATTATAATTGATTTTGTTGTCTTTCGATATTTTGGATGAATCGAACAAAAGAAAGAAAACAACAGTCAATGCGTTTGAAGAAGCTCAGTTAAATATCGGAACCGATACATATCTGTTCGGATAGAATAGCATAGAATCGAAATCGACTTTTTTTTGGCTTACGGTATTTTGGATGATTAAAAAGTGATTTTTTAGTAATTGTTTTTATTTTTCTTCTTCGATAAGTTACTTAACATTTATGTATGCGTGGTCTTTTGTTGGTTTGTGTCTAAATTTTCTGTGTGCATTTTTTTGTCGCTTTTAAATGAGTGACTAAATCTCGAACTGTGCAATAGTTTTGCGTAATTTCATAGTTGTGCCTACATTACGAGTTTTATTTTGTTTTTAATACATTATCATTATTATTTACATATGAAAACGCAATTTGTTTATTCAATATTATGCCTAACGACGGAAAATGATTTTCTATTCGTTTTATTGTGTTCGTTTTTTTTTTTTACTTATAAAGTCTACCGTTTTCTTTTAGGCTGATTGGTTGTTTGAATCGTTTATTTCCGCTGTTTATTTTTTTTCTGCTCAATTTATGAACTGTATTGTCCAAACATTGGATTGTTGCAGCCAACAATTATATAAATCAATTCTAAATGATATTTATTTCGATTTGTGTGTTGTTTGAATTTCTCTCGATGCGTCATACGAAAAAAGAGTCTTCCAAAGTTGTGTGATATTTTTGTTTAAAATGATTCGATCACATAATAATTAAATTTCTACTCTTGTGTATCATTTTTAAGTAATTTGTTTTTTTTTTCTTCTTCTTTTTGTTCGCTATCCTACATGAATGGTAAAAAAGTGATTTTTTTGTTGATCGAATGCAACCGATGCTGGCGATGTACTATTTCGTTATGTTTTGTTCATTTTTTTTTACTGTTGGATATATTTTTTCGGTGCATTTTTATCGTTAATAATTATTTTTGTTTTCGTCTTCTCGATTTGTTTTATTGTGTCTTTTTTTTTGGTTTTTTTTCTGTATTTTTATCTGTAATTTAATTTTCAATCAATTTATTTTTTGGTAATTGTTCCATTTTGGGCAGGGGGGGGGGATAAATTTATGACTTGTATATACGGATAACATCTCGAATGATTGCTCGGCAAAGTGGACAATGGCCGCCTCCAATTCCATGCCATTGCTTCACAGCACATTCATAGCACATGCACATGTGACCGCATGTATATAGCACCGAATCGATTGAATGCTCATAGCAAATGGTGCACTCGTTTCCTTGTCCAAGATTGGCCGCGTTCGCATCTTGCCACTGTGATAATGAGCTGTATTGTGGTGTTGACGATGGTTTCGTTGGTTTTGTCTATGGATTAAATAGAAAAGAAGCAAATCAATTAGTGACTGTTCAATAATATATTCAATGGACAATTTGGTGGGGTGAGAACAAATTGGAATTTTGTTATTGATCCTTACCTCAACATAATTCGATGAGTATGTAATGGAACCAGCATTGAGTGTGGCTGGTGGAATCGGCATTTGAGTGATTTGTGGTTGATGAGTTTGACTATTACCACTAATATCATTGTTGCTGTTAGCTGGCGGAAGATTGACAACTAAAACGGTGCCACCAGATTGCAATTGGATCATGTCACTGCTCGAGATGACACGATTGGCTGGTGCTGCGGTGGTTGTTGTAACCGGAATCGATCGTCGCGATTGGCTTATTTGTGCCGATGACATTACTTCAATACTGCTAATTGATTCGGCTGGTGTCAAATTTTGCGATGCATATCGTTGTGAAATTGGTCGCTGAATCGACAGCATTGTCGTTGAATTGGAAATTGGTGTTTGGTATTGTGGCGATGGTGCCATTTGACTTAGAACACGAACGGATTGCGTTGATCCATACACATCTAAAAATGCCCATAGCTGAAGACTTTGATCGACGTGCATAATAACAGTGGGTGATCCATCATTTTTACTAATTTGAACTTCACCATTTTGTGTAATCGAAAAGATTATCTCATCACCACGAACTGGATTCGATGCAATGTCTTTGCTAACGACCCAATACTCGGGCCGATCGAGAAGTAAATCCGAGTCGTCCGGCAAATCGGATGGTTGTAATGTGGCTGGATCGCATGATGTAAGACCAAGAGCCAAAGCACCAACATACATTGGTTCAGTGCGTAACACTTGAACAATTAACTTTTCACCGATGCGAATTGGACGCGCGGTAAACACATAACCTTGACAAAATTCGGTTTCAACGCGTGTGGCGACCAATTTATCTTGTGACAAATGAACATTTCGGCCACGGGTTCGATGGAATGGAACTGGTGTCAATGATGTGCGTAGCGATGTGCCCGAACGGCTTCGAGCTAGTGGTGGACGGTGATCTTCGTTAACTGAAAGCGATTGCAAATGTGGGACGATACGATCGATTTCAACTTCACTTGCTGCCGATGGTACCGATTGTCGGCTGCCCGATCGATGCTGATACATGCAAACGCGTGAATCCAAAAATTCAATGGCCGAACAATTGCCATACACGTCAACTAATGCCCAAAGTGGTTCCCGTGGTGGTGGAATCGTAAAGAATATACCCTTCTCTTCACCATTGATTCCAAAATGAACATCACCAGACGAAGTGAAATAGTAAAATAAAATATTATCACGCTCGCAGTAGCGTTCGTTTAGAGCTTTGGCCCAAAATCCGGGACGGTTGGTTAAATCAGGGCATGCATATTTCGGCAAACTGTTTCGTGATGTAGCCGAATCATTAAACGTTACTGGGTCATTGTATGTGAATCCGAATCGAATGACTCCGCTCCAATTGTTTGAAATTTCCGAAAATTTGATGAAAACACGTTCGTTTGGCTTTACCGGCCGGTCACTAAATGTTACACCTTTGTTGAAACTTTCAAAGCGTTTGGCGAGAGCACCATCGCGCGAAATACGGATGTTATCACCATGAACATAATGGAAACGCAGCGGTGGCAGGTTGTTTGGTCCCGGACATGTTACAGGGTTACTTGTTGCTGTAAATTAAAGAAGAAGAAAAAAGTTGTTCAGTTATATATTGAAGACATAACAGATAAAGAGCACGTAACATGGACAAAACAAATGTCAGTAGGTTAAAATGAAATATTTACAACTGTTCGGCATTGTTATATTGCTTAAAATTCGGTGATTCTATGAAATTACGTTACAAAGTTATGAACTAAAAATAAAACTGGTCGACGGTTGTTTTAAAATGAACGAGAACACACACAAACACACACACACACACACACGGACGATTTAAAATGTACACGAGATGAAATATTATGCCATTTTGCGGAACATAAACGAACATTGACTTTCGATTGAATGAGCAATTTTTTTATATGTTCAGATCGCCTCCACTGAACTCAAGCACGTTATTTTCAATCGCGAATGACAGTTGTTGCGTTGCTCTCAAGTGATGGCTACCAATGGTCAAATCAGTCTCACTCAATAAATATCATGATGATGACGACAGACAGACAAGAAGCAGCAGAGACCTCTTTTTGGTGCTGTTGGTTGTTGTTGTTTTTCTCCGTGTATATAAGAACGCGCGCGCACACACAAGGCCAAATACACAAAACTAAATACTTTCACTTGACAATACAACAACGTTGTTGCACTGGTCATCACAAGCAAGAGACAAATAGCGCGAACCGTAATCAATTCAAACACAAATGCAATGTCTACTTAACACAAATCCGATTTGAACGACACGCGCGCGAGGCGCCGCTTGTCAAACACTATGTATTTGTCGATTTTGGACTATGTGTATATTTTGTCTTGGTGTGTGTGTGTGTGTGTGTGTGTGTGTGTGTGTGTGTGTGTGTGTGCGTGTAATCATTATTCAACAGGGTTCTATGTGCCTTCGCCTGACTAAGTTTTACTTTGACTTTTCGTTATCTCTAACGAACAATTCTCCGGCTGTTAACAGCACACTAAATACTAAATGTGAACAATTTATTGTGCACTCTATCAATGAAACGAAACAGATGAATAGCGTTTTTTGTTGTAGTTCTCTGTACATGTTCAATAAATGAATTTATTAAAATCTTCATGAAATTTTCTATGAAAGCAAACAAACGCGCATTTAACAAGGATGAACAAAAAAAAAATGATCTTGATTTTCGGGAATTGTTCGACAAATATGCGACGGGGCGCAAGAAATGAATAAAGACAAAGGCAAGAAAACATCAATACATGAACCGAAGATCCGGTATATGAAGAATTTCCGGTTCGTGATCGCTCAATACAAGGGAATGCGATTGCATTTCGGGCCAAAACAATGCCGCAAATAGGCAACAAACACACAACTGAGAAAACAACAGCAACGGAAAATCAAGAAGAAAAAAAAAAGAAAAAAATACAGACATCAGAATGAGAGAAACAGAAGCGGCAAACCGGTGGAATAGCCAAGGAAAAAGAGGAGAAGAACATTTATTATTTTATAATGCATACACGGTCTTTGCCGAACATGATCGGTGCTCACGACAAAAATCAAATAGCATGAAGAGACGGGCAAAGGAAAGAAGTTCTAGTTTTCAATGTAGCCGAGCGCATGAAATAATTCTCTTTTCTCCCCATTTTTCTGAAATTCGTGCATTATCATTACCATTACGTTTCTTCTTGTCTTTTTCTTCTCGGTCGGTCCCTTCACGAGCCAATGCCTTCCATCCAGTCTACTCAATTTCTGAGTAATGCACACTTACGCTTCAAAAAGTATTTTCTTTCTTTGAAACCGACCGATCCCATTTGAATGTCGTTGGCTTGAATCTTTTTGTTGCCGTTCATTTTTTTTTTCTGTTCATGTGATGTAAGTAATCGCAACCAACACACGATGGAAATCAATATAGAAATTTCTTTTTATCTTATTTATACTTGAAAAATACGAAAATTTGAAGATCGTTATGCTCTTGTTATGTTGCTTCATGAACAGAAAAATTTGTGTTTTTTTTTTCTCTCTCACTAATGCGAGAAGAGAATAAAAGCAAAACAGACAAATTAAAAGTTGTTTTTAGAGTGAATATCGTGAAAGCCAATGAAATTGTTTTTTTTTTTTTTTCCAACACGGTGAACAACCAGATTATTGTATTCATTACATTTTGAATTTACATGTAAAAAAGAGAAAGAATCACCACAACGTACGAGTATACTAATACCCTATGGTGCTGAAACGCATATAACAATATATCGCAACAAAAAAATCGAAAACATATCATATGAATTGGATTAAATCAGTGACAGCGGCAAGGCGACGCTCGATTGTAGTCGAAAACACTAGAAGTCTTTACATTGCATACATTAGCGTAGGTTTTTTTTCTTCAATCTTTTCATTAAATTTAATGAAGAAAAAAAAGATCAGTGGTTTGCATTTTTTTGTTTTTGTTTTTATCTCGTCACACTCATACCGTTTGACGTTGATCTAACAACACAGCTTGATGCTTGGCCCATTTGAAAGCCAAATCACTATTTTCGATATGTGAATGTGTTGCCGTTTCACTGATATCGCATGGTTTCTATAACATTTAAATCTTACACTTAACCTTGTGAATTCGGTTTGTCGATCTGTTTTCCTGGTTTGTTTTTTTTTTCTCTCTCTTTTTTTTTGTTTTCCTGTTATGTTTTTGCATTTGTAATTTTTGTTTGGTTTAAATTTTGTTTTGGACTTCCCGTTCTTGATCTTCACACATTGAAATGGTGTTATATCTGCTGTTTGCAGAATGAGCGGAATGCTGTGCGTGTTCCTTTTTGTTGTTGGTTTTTTTTTTTTTTTTTTAATTCGCTTGTGTCATACGAAATCATTTTTTATAATTTGATGACAGACAAATGGAGTGCTGTATCATCGTCCATATATTTCTAGAAATACAGTCAAGATCATTGTGAACTTGAACAAATACAAAAAATACAACACGATTGATTGATCGAACATAAAAATAGTTCAATGATTTTCGATGCATAAAAAAGTTATTTTGGTGACAACGTCGATTTTTTTTCCCACACCAGAATAAATCAAAGAAACGAATCGATTTTCGAGCTCATAAAATGTTGTATTTTAAACAAAAAGAAATTTTTTTTTTTAACGAAATAGCAATTCTCTTTTTCGGCAGAAATAACACAAAACCAAAAATAATGAACATTTGTCCAGATGTTCGAAGATCAACAATAATGTGTTCACCTTTAAGGGATACACACACACACACACACACATCGAGATCAAAATGTGTTGTATTTAGAAGAAAAAGAAACAAAGATAAAACACATATAGATGAATCACATTGAATGAAATCGAGGTAGAAGATTCATGCCGAGTTGATAGTTTGGGTGGATGAAAAACGAAATATTTCCATGATGAACTCTTGACAATGGCTGTGTGACAATGACACATCAAAATCATTATATACGTACATGCGACAAACATCTGACAAAATTGAAAAATGTATGGATTTTCGTCTGAATCGGAGTGCCTTAGAAAATGCGCAAAACGATGCATTGTTTTGACAATTTTATGGTGCTAATATTTCATATCGGTTATGCTTTCTTGGCCAAGCAAATACTATTGTGAAAACTGTTGTAAACACACATCGTTGCATCTTCGCAGCTGAGCGAAAACACAAATGCTTGGCTATTGAAAAAGAAAAAAGATCTCTCTTTTTTGTTGTGGCACGCATTCGAACAGTAGATACATTAAACCCGTGGATATGTGAGCGCAATGTGAGAGTGTATGCAATATGCATTGAATAGGGGCTGCTCGATTATCATGGCTAGGTTTTATTTTTTCTCTCTTCTTTTCTTTATTTCAATGCATTGCCCTGAATGCGTTCTGTTGATCGAACACATAAATGCTTAAAAGGTGAACATACAAAAAAGCAACAGCTGCGTGTTTTCAGACTATGTGCATCTCTCTCTCTCCCTTTTTCTTTTTCTCTCTCTCTCTCTCTCTCTCTCTATCTCTATCTCTCTTATTCGTTTTTCAAATGATGTCAGTCCGATATTTTTTGCTTTTCTCGGTTACATGTCCATGGTACTGACGTATCTTTGCATTTATTGTCAAATAATTCTGACTTTTGTTTATTGAAACGACGTAATGACAATTAGAATATGACGTAGACTGATGAATTTTGAATGACGAATATTCTGTGTACTTTGGCACTGATGGCCGCTAGTTTTTCTCTCCGGCTACTAGGATGGGTATTAAGTCTGCATCAAATTATATGTTTGAATATAGCCATTATTTTTTATACCCGCGAAATGAAGATACAAGTCATCAAAAAAAAAAACGTTCATAATAGCCACGCCATGCCAACAGTCGCATCTATTTTTGGAGTTTGTTGTTTGTTTGTTTCTCTCTTCTAGTTTTTTTTTTTTAAAATGAATTGGCAATTACAATGGACTGCAATATATAGTATTGGATCGTGGTTGCTATTCGAGTTGATGGTTTGGCGGGCAACGTTGCAACTTTATGTGATCGTTGATTACCATATTTCATATTGGCCAATATCGTACAGTGTGTGTTGTACGCTGAGGCAAAAATAAATTAATGAAATGCAGTGCAACTAAGAATGGAATTGTTGATATTTTTTTTTTTTTCATTTAGTATGTTAATGTATGGAATGCGTGTGATGGTGATCGAGTCTAAAGCGCGCACGAGTGGCGGAAATCGTACTTACGTACGTTTCCTGTTTTATCGGAACATTGAATGATGGCGTTGGCGATACATAAATTAAATTTCAATTCTAGCCCGAATTCGTTGGTGAAACATACAAAAGCGTTGCATTGATGGGTGTTTATCGGTGCTGAAAATGATTATTCGTCATATTCACAACTATGTCAATCAGTTTGAAGTTCGCTGACTGAGTTTTACTAAGAATTTAAGCCAGCAAAGATAATGTGGAACGAATGAAATGAACAGAAAAAATAACAACTCCTAAACAAATATTTCTTTGATCCGAGGCAAGTCTTTATGAGTCGACACCTTTGCGGTCGCTCACCCATCAATTTCGTGTTTAACTATCGAATTGAGTTTTATTGCTTTTTATTCCATGGTTTATGCGGGTGATATCGTTTTTGTACTTTAATTCACCTCCTTCTCATATATATACAGCGATAACATTGCGCGAGCATAATCAAACAAAACATAAAATGGAATTGAAAAAGATGCAGAGTTGAATTGTTCAGCGCCAGATGTTGAAAATGAGCTATGCCAGTATATGTGATAAGGGTCTTTTTGATGGGCTTGAAAATGAGTAAACTATATTCTGGAATCATCATTTTGCAAAACAACCTACGCAAACACATGTGAATATCGAGCTGTATTCGAAGCTAATGCCATCGTGATACAGAACAAATGCAACATATGACAAATTCCCAAACGTAATGCTTTTAAGTGAGCGGAAAATGTCTCTCCAGAGTGCCAGAAAGATTGACAGAGAATTATAAGGTTTTAAGTTGAGCATAATTAAAACGGGGTTGTAATGCATCTGAGATGCGATGCATCGATCAATGTTTTGTATTAGTCTGAACGGGATGGAATCCACTCAGAAAAGGATGTACACATTTTTTTTTTTTTGAGCTAGAAAAAGGCATTCGGAAGCTGTTATTGGCTGTAATTTTTTTCTCCTTCTTCGTTCTGGTTTTTTCCCGTGTCATTTGTACTCATTTTGAAGCGTTAATTAAATACCGGGTGTTTTGAAAATGTTTCATGAATTCACTTCCTTTATTGATCATGTATAAGATGGCAATGTAGCTCTTTTGTACTGCAATTATCCGCACCTGCGTAATTCGGCAAAACCATGTACGTTGCATTCGATATAAAGAGCCAAACTGACCGTCAATCGTATATGCATACAGATGGACATCGGGCCACTGTAATCGGTCAATAATCGAAGATTATTAGTGATGGGGTACCGAAAATGTAGCATCTGATGCACCAATCCAATGAAATTAAAACTATAAACGCATTTAAAATCAAATGGTCGGCCGTTTATTGTATCTCTTTCCGCTGTTAATGCATAAAACGAATTGGAACAGCGAAACAAACGGTCGAAAACCGAAATTTAGGGTGAAACAACGACACATTGAAATTGTATTTTCTCCCCTCTGATTTTACTTTATACGATTTACTTTTCATTCCTTGAACAACAACAACAACAACAACAACGAGAGAGACAAAAAAACACTGAAGATATATGAGCAGCATATGCACTCATACATCGATAGACACGCATTTTGCAGCTTGTTGAATTTTTTCGAATTTTCTCTGTGTACCAAGAATCAATCCATGACGAATGTATGCATGCAGATGTATCTGTGTATGCGTATGCGTATGCGTATGTGTGTGTGCAGCCGTAGAATGACGAAAAAGAAATGGAAAAACAACTGCTAGGGAGCAAATGAAATCGACAATGGCAGATGTTTTAATTTTGAGCATTAGACCCTTTTTTCTTGCAATCGAGTTCATGCGGAGGGCTCCGCTTTTCTATGCTCTCTCAGGTATCAAGACCCAAAAACGAAATCAAATGCATGAACATTCTTAACTGCTATCAATTTACGATGGAAATGAGACTTTGGATTTCAAATTAATTTGAAAATTGTAAACAATTTCAATGACGCCCGTTAAACCGATCGAAAGTGATTTAATTGAATTTACAATTTGAATATCAAAGATATAAATACGAATTGCTAACCAACGCATTGTGTGCATTGTGTGAAAGCGTGGCGCAAAATTGAGCTTAGCATGGAATCCGTTGTGCTGGAGTGTGAGAGATCTCATGCAAAGACTGGTCGATCGATCAAACATGAAAAAAATCTTGTTTATAAGTGAAAAGACTGACTAATCAGAATACATTCAGCGAAATGCGGCTAATGAATAAATGTATTCAGTGCGATAAAAATTCATCAAAACACTCGGTCCGTATCGTTCAACAAATGTATGATCGCTACTTAACATGAAATTTGTCGATTTTATTTTTCATATTATTCTTTATTATTGCTCACGTATCGTTTCGTTTCATTTTATTTGACTTGAGCGTGCGAAGCGTGTGCGCGAGAATAAGATCGCGAGCAAACGAGCGATGATCATGTCATCGTCGACATAGCTATGGTTGTAGTTTGTTGCATTTTCATTTCTATTCGCAATGGAAGCAGAAATATTGTAGTCAACGATTTTGACGTATGGTAAAAACCCAATGAAGAGCATACGACTGAATAGTGCGATTAAATGGTCTTATTGTCGAACAACGCAACGATGTCGCTATTTATAACAATTTGATAAACGACAACAACAACAAAAACTATGAAAAGTGTGTTGCTTATTTCTATGTTGTACTCAGTGAGCAAGCATGACGTATTTGCATATCACGTTCTTTTTCTTTTCCTTAGTTTTTCCTTCACTTTATTGTGAGTAGATACATATATATATATATATATATATACTTCAATCAACTTTTTTATGTTTTCTTGAGTGTTTGAATCCCGTTCTATACACTTTGTTTCTACCGCATGCTGTCTGCAAATACGTTTATCGCACGCATTTCCAATTGATGCTATAGAAAGCAGTATGCTCCATTTGAACGAACTTTAATTAGAAGAGTGGTTTGGGTGAGGTAAACTTCAAAATGAACGGAACAGCCAAAGCGTAACAATGTAAACGTGATTGTTGTTGTCGTCATCATGCTAAATTAAAATATTAAATTCCCTTCATGTACGTCTTCAATCTTCCATTATTTCTTTTTTGTATGTTCATTTTTGAACGATGCGATCGAAACGATTTTTGCCAAATCATTATAAAAGTGTCTACGCGAATTTATGACGTACATTACTAACTGTGTCGCTAATTCATGTGTAAATTCGGCATTTACTGTGAAACGGTCAGTAAATACGCTTTGGAAAAGTGAACGTAAGCATTGAGAGGTTGTATAGAATGTCATAGGGATGATGGCCACCAACGCAAAATGAAATAGCAACAACAATAACAGAAATGAAATAATCGAATTAATTGAGTTGAACTCTTGTTGCTGCTGCTACTGCTGCCGCCGCCCAATAGAGTTGAATCTATTGTTGGCCGGTTTAATTTATCAAGTATCCATACACGGAAAACTTTAACGTATACACACATGCACACTGACCAACCGAATGAGCCCAAAAAAAGGTTCTATGAACAAACGGTTACAAAAACAAAACCAACTAATGTTCAATTCGCACTTGCACGCATTCACATGCAAAACCGATTCGATCAGGAATGGAGCTGTCAGAAGAAAAAAAAAACGTCCACCATCGAGTCTATAACAATGTAACTTCTCCAATGTAGAATCAATGCGCGAGTGAAATGTAAAAATAAAGATTGAATGAATGAATGAATGAAAATACAAACCTAGTCCCATGCGTCGCTTGATTTTCTTCAAAACCTTCATTTTACTCTTTATGGGTGAGAACGAACTTTCATCTTTACAATGACATTTTTTATCACTTGAACAACAATTATTTAACTTCTTGAGTTTTTTGTCTTGTTTTAACGATTTTTCTCCACTAAAACCCATAAGAAATTCGTGTACGGAATTCGGTGTGTATTTTTTTGTGGTTTTTCGGTAATATCCGCTCTGCTGCTCTCTGGCTGCTTCTTCCAATTTCTATGCGATTGTTGTTGCTGCTCGTTGAAACATATATTTCTTTTACTTTTTTATTTCTTTCTCGCCAATTAATATCGTATTTACAAATTAATATGTGCAAAAATTGTGTGTGTGTGAAATCAAAAGAAATCAAGATTTAACGAACGCGAAAGACAAGAGAAAAAAATCAAACGATATCAACAAAAGAAAAAATAATACAAATAAATAACTTATTTAATTGAATGAAATAATATTTTGTGTTTGAATTTTTCGAGAGGAAAAACGACGAAGACCGTCTGTTTCGGTCAGTTAACTGATTGCAACTGAAAAACTAAACTACATTTCGGCACGAGCAAACACACCAAAGAGCACTCTTCGCCGAGAAATTTCTTACATACAACACAGTCTATCATCTGCTCTGCGATGGCTGTGTACGGTGTGTGCGTGTGTATGGGTGAGCTGCTGGAAGTTGTAACACATGGTAAAAGCGCTGTGTGGATAGGTGTGTATGTATATGTGTGCGTGTACAAGAGCCGAACGTATATGATGTGACGAGAGAATTGCTGCGCATAGCGAATGTTTTATGTTTTGCGTACAGCTGCATTCCCACAAACACGGTTAGAGTCATCACACAGTTTACTCAATATTCACATACAGACACACATACACACACTCTCTCGACGATTTTCATATTTGTGCCGATCTTTTCGATTGCAGTCTTACTATTGTTTATGGTGCGTATGGCTGTGAACACATGGCAAAACGGCGCTAGTTTATTGTACAAATAGCATGCCGGGTTTGGCAGAGAGCGATGGCACACGGTAAAAATACCAAAGCACAACCGAAATCAATGACGATGAAGTGAAAGAATCACAAGAAACACCAGCAACAACAATTGCGATGAAAGCATGAAAACCAAAAATAAAAAAAGCATTCAAATGCTTTCCATCATAAGCAAAGAAATGAGAAATACGTATGCAGGCATTCGTCTTCTCCAAAGGTTTTTTTTTTTTCTTTTCTTTTCTTCTTCTTCTTTGTTATCACGTCTTACCTTTTGCTTCGCCATTCGTTCGAATGGTTACGTACGTCAATTCCGAAACTATGCTCAATATAATAAATTCGTATGTTTTGGCAGAAGTCTAAGCATTTTCATTACGGTGTGTTATTTTTTTTTTTTTTTTAATTTCATTTCTACGGAGTTTTAGCGTATTATTTTTTTCGGTTGAGAAGTGATATTCCATCTCAGCACACGATCATCTTTTGTTGCCCATGTGTGCCATAACAATAGATGCGTAGCGGGGTCTTCTCTTTGGTTTGTTCATTCTTACAGAATGATTTTTTTTTCAGCGACAAGACTCTTCATCTACTTATTTTACTTTTAATTTTGAGATGCATGCCTACACTTTTTTGGCTAATCAGTTTTTATTTTCACCGACAATAAATCGTTTACTTAGAAGGAAATCACATTTCAACTAATATTATTTACTGTCTTGCTGATGGGAAAATCCAAGCATAAGCAATTTATTTTATTACTATTATCTTTGCTTTGTGATGTCATTCAAGACAATCTGCATAAATCATACATTTGGAGAAAATTTCCCATCTGTTGTCAATAATAGAGAAACATTTTTTTTTTCCTGGAACACTGAAGGTATGCGTTTCTTAGACTCGACTTTCGTTGGAATCATTATACTCATAGTTTTCATAGTATACTCATAGTTTTTTTTGGGAAAACCTTCGTCCGCACGGGAATTTTCCCCGTTTCGATGCATTTATCTCACGATAAACTTTTTCGGAAGACGGAAAAAACTGGCAAAATGCTTTGCATTAGGACGATATAGAAGCACCGAAGAAATATGTAGAAAAACACATTTTAAGTGAAAAGTAAAACCATATTTTTTGGCAACGACTATGGCATGCAAACGCATTCGAAATATCCACAACATTTCTTCATAAATGAGCCAAGAACGAAAAACCCGTAAAAACAAATGGAAAATAGCATCTGCTTTTTTCCATTCTTGAAAAAAAAAACCAAATGCTCCAAGTGCATATGCATACACACACACACACACACACACAGCATCGTAATAAATGTGGAAATGGTTCAGCTTGCGCTTTGTCCTTTCCTCTACACTGTGCTGATATTAAACAACGATTATCGTACTTGCCTTTGTTTTTATTCAGTTTTCCAATCAATTTCAATAAATGGTTTTACAAGAAGCCGAGGCAGCCGTCTCCAAAATTCATGCAAAAATGCAAAACTGCAATATGTTTTGACAATTGAGTTCATTGATTAATCATAATTATGCTTTGTCGCTGAGTGCGCATACACATTGAGCCCGATTGAACCGGCTGCCCACAATTACTTTTTACCATACTGAACTTGAGTATGTTTTATGCTATAAATGGAAAATTCAAGTGTTCGCCATACTTTTGATTCGCCGCGACTGGAATGTGGTCCTTTTTTTTCTGCCGATAAGACGTTTGATGATTTGTCTCCGATATTCATGTATACACAAAGCATACTCTTTCAAAGGACCTCCCGAACCGAAATATTTAGATCTAGCCGACGTAATCGAAGTGGAACGATAAATACCTTTGATGATTAGATGACAATATTTGAAGCAATACTATGTTGGTGGCATTACTTTTGAGTCATGCAAAATTGCACATGAGCAAAGAGAATAGACGAGAGAAAAAACGAAGAATGAACCTAAATAAACAAGGCATAGAAGGTGCTGTTTTTTTTTCTGTTTGAAAATTGAACCATGAAATCTCATTATGTGCGCACAATATTGCCAGTGTAAGACTAAATAAGCCGATGCCGATGCCGATGTTAACACATGTTGAACTTAATATGTACTTCTGTAATATTCGGTCTCATTTCATACAAAATCAACAGTAATTATTTTAATTACGAACAAACTGCAACAAGAACCGTTTTCAGCGCGAAAATGAAAACGTGAAAAGAAGAGAAAAAAAGCAATAACAACGACTGATCGCACATTGACGCTACGATCGCAATATGCAAACGGCTGCATGTGCTAAATTTTTTTTTTTTTCGTCGTGTCTCCAAATTCTGCGCAACAATATTGCATATTCAGATGTTCAGTTTAGCCGTCATCGTGTTTGTCAATGATCTCTGGTTGGCTGGTTGGCTGTTTGGCTGGCTGGCTGGCGAATGAATCAAAAAGTGCAGAGAGAAAATGAAATGAAATTACCATAAGTCCTCCGAACTGGCAAAGGAAGAACCACAAAGCATAGTGGAAGCGCGTTAACTAAACACCATGTTATGCACGTATTTCCCATTCGTCGTCATCGTCGTCGTTGCCGGTGAAATGTGCATAAGGTAATAGTGAGCCATTCACACACACACACACACACACACACACCGCATACACACGCAAAGGCGTAGCACAGCAGATGCATTCTTTTTAATAGTGTATAATCAGTCTGACAGACACGTGTCACGCGTCGAACCATTTAGAATATGTATCGGCATCAATTAATGCTCGGGAATTAATACAAACTGAACAAGCGGAAAAATAACACACACTCGAAAAACATATATGGAACATTGCTTGGACGAAGAAGAAGCTGAAGCGAAATGCGTGACAGGTGCGATATTCTTGGTGATAGCATTGGATCTCGTACTTATGTTCCTGTTCGTATTGTATTCTTCACTTTTGCCTTGCGAATGTGCTTTTTCCCTTCTTCCTCTCTCTCTCTCTCTCTCTCTCTCTCTCTCTCTCTCTTTCACTCTCTCTCTTTAATTTTGGCTTTCGATTTTGTGGTTCATTCAAAACCACAAAATACTTACCCACATGATCATCTTGTCCTTCTATCGGCCAACCAGCAAATGTGCGTGCAAGCACCAATGATATTGCAAAAATAAAAGAATATAAAAAGCATATCGATTTTTTTAGCTTCACCAAAAATCATCATTTGGATGTTTGGAATAGAAAAAAAAAAAACGAAATGAAACAAACAGAAATCAAACAGAGATAAGAAGAAATGAGTCAAAGAAAAATGATACCGATGCTGTATGCTCATGCCCATCCAGCTGACCTTTTGTTTTTCTCCAACTGCTGCCGTCGCAGTATTTATGGGTTTTGTTTCTATTTAAAAAAAAACGACATATGCAAACATTGAACACAGCATTCTGCTTCACATTCATCTTTTCGACTAAAAACACCCAATTCTGTATTTCAAAGAAGATCGTCGAATTTGATCTCATCCCCAAATTGTTTTATTTGATTTCAAGTTCGATCACTTTGGTTTGTGAGGTGATACCGTTCGTTCAGTTGATCTACATCTGTGGAAATAGTTCAAAATTTGTTTCCAAGCTCTTCCTCTGCCAAAAAGAAAAAAAAAACATAAAATGAACAGTTATCAAAGTGTATATTTTGCCTCGACCTTCTGGATGTCTTCACCTTCACTAATGACACCAAAAATACACACTTCATATGTCTACGCATTTATTTTCGACATTCGATCGATGTATGCATCGAATGATTTTGTACAAAAGAACGTGCATATGCTCATGGTGTGCGACGTATGTTGATTTTCATTCTATTTCGATGTGCTCCTTCTATGGTATTTTTGTGTTGGGCTCGTATCGCTTTCCTCTCTTGTTCATTACGTTACAAGAATCAAGAAGAACAAATCAAGGTGCTAAATTGGAAACATTGTACATCTGTGAACTTACTATGAACGCAAACAAACATCTATACATACACAAACACTCTCTCTCTCTCTCTCTCTCTCACTTTGTCTCTTGAAATTTCATCGCACATATGGTCTCTTTTTTGGTTGATGGTCTTCCCAATCGAACGAAGAAAAAATAAAGCAGCAAACTATTGAGCAAACAAATGCTAATGCCCTACCCATATGAGTGTACATAGGATGTGCTCCTTGTACTCGTAAGTGCTGGGCAATTTAAACAAACACCAAGTAAACAAAGCTGCCGAAATAAAGTGTGTGTAAGAGTGAGTGAGTGAGTAATGGAGAGAGAGAGGGATTCCTTTTGGAAATGTCAGCGGCTGCATTGGTAAGGTGAAGGAAAAAAAAGTTGACTAAACCGGATATGATTTTTTTTCTTCCTTTTTTCCTGTAGTAACGTATAAAAAGGAAGTGATTTTTTTCGGAAGGGAGAGAAAACGAGGCAAATTACATGCACGATGCGTTGTTGTTGCCGTTCATCTATTGCTCTTTCGGCCAAATCACACACATATCCACCACTTAACCATTAATATTCCTACGTGTGTCGCATACGTATGGGGAATAACTTTTAATAATAATACCATTCGGCACACTTGCCCATGTTATTCACTGTCGCTGCTTCCACCATCTGTATTGGTTCGGAAATAAGGTTCTTTCTTCCTCTTCTTCTTCTTCTTCT